ATACATACATACATACATACATACATACATACATACATACATACATACATACATACATACATACATACATACATACATACATACATACATACATACATACATACATACATACATACATACATACATACATACATACATACATACATACATACATACATACATACATACATACATACATACATACATACATACATACATGAGAGAGGGAGAGTGGGGAGAGAGAGGCTTCGCGGGATGGGGAGGATGGGAGCAGAGGGAGGGAGAGAGGACAACAGAACACACGAGGGAGACAAGGAAGAGAGGAAGAAGGAGAAAAGGGAGAGGACAATGTCGGCGGACTGAGCCGGAGGCTCTAAAGTAATATAGCGCATGCGAATGAAACACGGGGTTGCCCCACGAAAGGGTTGAACTACAACTAGGTCCTCCAGTAGAGAGGTCAGAATAAGGATACCCGATTTTTTTTCAGTCTGTTTTAGTAGGGGAACCGAATCTCCCAACCAAACAAGGGGTGAGAAAGGGCACGATCCTGGGGGACCCAGTTGTGGCTTGGAGCCGAACTCGGTGGTTTCTGCACAAACCTCCACTTCGCGCCAGGGAAGTGTGTTCCTTCCATTCCTGGGGCCTCTCAAGCCTGCACCACTCGGGGGAGTTTATTGACAAGTGCTAGGGTTTCACATACCCAACCGCCAAGTGGGGTGCGTTTTTTTTTTTTTTGTTGGCCACCCTTTGCGGTGAGTGGCATTTTGGGGTCCAAATCCCCCCTTGTCGGGCTAGCAACCTTTTTCTCTGGCTGCTTGGTACTCAAAAGGGGGCTATCGGTTCGACAAATCCAACAGGCTCCCCCTGGTGCATGGTGCACCATTCCAAAATGAATCTACCGGGATATTTACCGGCTTGATTCCCGACTCAAACCCCCCTCATTACTTCTTCTTCTCAATGCTCTTCACCTTGTAGTACTCGGCGCGCATCTTCTCGGATCCCCATCCCTTGCCCTTGTTGGCGTGCTGGAACGCGTTCCAGCTATTGCTGCATGCCTTCACCCTCGACGTCGAGCTCGAGGATGCCGAGGATGCCGCCGTTTCGTTCCAGTGGTGCTCCTGCTCAAACCCCCCTCCATCGTCCTTCCGCACCACCCACGTTCGGCCCCACTGATCATGAAGCTCCTGAATCCCACGGTCCACCTTCACCAAGTCCCGGGGCTTCTCCTTTACCTTAACCACCTCCAGAGGCTGAACGCCTCTCAGCCTTCTCACACAGCCCACCGCAACACCCGCGGTTTGCTTCGCCACCCACACTGCTCCGATCGCCATCAGGATGACTCCCACAACGATCAGCACATCCAACTCGTCCACAGGCATGATGCCCTTCATGGCTGTCGCCTTCCCCACCAAATCTGCTCCGATCACCGCCAACAACCTCACCTTCATGCCGAAGCCGTCCGCAGTGACTGCCTGCTCCTCCTTGGCCAAAATGGCCTTCCTCATCATCTTCTTTACCACCGGCATACCCAGGTCTTCCCTGAACCGCTCGAAGGCCTGGCCATTAAGCGATTTCGTCATGCCGTCTGCCACCAGCTGCTTTCCCGACAGGTGCGTGAGCGACCAGCCACCATCTTCCAGGGCCCACCGCAACGACGCCGCCCTGATTCGCAAGTGCCTCGTCCTCCAGCTCCCCGACCCGTTTGATGCCAGGGCTATCGCCGCCACGTTGTCCCCGTAGATCCTCTTCTGGGTGAGCTGCTCACCCAGGATCACCTCCAACAAAGCAGCCGTCGCCCTTCCCGCCACCAACGACTCGCAGTACCCGATCAGCTCCGCTTCCGCCGTGGATTGCGCCACAAACGGCTGCTTGGTCGCCTCCCATGCAATTGGCGAGCCCGCGAAGTAGACCAAGATGCCCTGCACGCTCTTGTGGTCTCCTGCCGTGCCATAGCTGATGTCCGAAAACACCTCCAGCAACTTGTCGTGTCGCTTCACGCTCAGGTGATCCCGAGCACCCCATCCAGTAGCCTTCGCGTACTTGAGGCCCACGTCGGTCGTGGCGTTCACATACTTCAGCAACGCCATGCCCACATCCACCACCTGCTTCGGGCTCTTCATGTTACGGGCCATTGTTGCGACTCCCGCCATCAAATCTGGCCTCGTCTTCGTTGCCAACCAAAGCAACCCACCCGTGATTGCCTGTGCCCGTCGAAGCATCGTGGGGTCCAACTCTTCTTCCTCCTCCGGAGCCTTGTACATCGGCACCTCCATCTTTTCCCGAACGCCCCATTTCTCAACCAGCTCCTTTGCGTAGGCGCTCTGCCTCAAGTCAAAGCCCTCCTCCGACTTCCACATCTCAAAACCACAATACCTCAACGGCTCCTCCTCCGAAGGCCATTCGATATCTGACAGCGGCCATTCCAGTTCAATTCTCTTGACCGCCGCCTTGATAACCTCCTGCTTGGCCGCTATCA